GCTCTTCCCAAATTCATAAAGTGGTATTCCTTTCCGCCCTATTGTATCAAATTTAGGTACTGCCTCGTATCCATTAGCTAAATATTTAGTTTCTAGATTTTCCACTCTATTAGACAATAACATTTACACCATAAAAAATTCAATAGAGTTTGTAAAAAAGGTTAAAAACATTTCTCCTCGTAATTTACTCATGGTTTCTTTTGATGTAAAATCATTATTCACCAATGTCCCAGTGGAGGGTGCATTAAGATGTCTAGAAACCAGACTTCGCGAATTTCATTTCTCTTGCATCGAAATTGATGAGCTAATTTCTCTCACTCAACTCTGTTTGAAACAAACACATTTTGTTTTCCAAAATAAATATTACAAGCAACTGAGGGATTAGCCATGGGAAGCCCCCTCAGTCCCATCCTGGCTGATATCTACATGCATTATTATGAATCAAAATTGTTTGAAACTTTAAACTTCCCGGCATGGTTCCGCTACGTAGACGATACTTTTACCCTGTTTGAAGGTAATAAAGATGATTTAAATAGAAGTTCTTTCAACAATGAATTCTATTGATCCTGCTATTCAGTTCACTTTTGAACTTGAGACTTGCAATTCTCTTTCCGTTTCTCGACATTCTGGTCACACGTAACACATCCAACTTCAGTACTACAGTTTACCGTAAACCTTCATCGGTTTGCCTTCCACCACACTTTAAATCATGTCATCCGACTAAACAAAAGTTAGCTTCATTTTATTCCTATGTTTTCCGTGCTCTTCAAGTTTGCTCCTCCAAACTAGCCCTTGATGAAGAACTAAATTATTTAAAAGCAATAGCTATTGACAGGGGCTTTTCACCCAACATTATTAATCAAGCAGTTAAAAAATTCTCATCTCAACACACTAAAAGCCACACTCTTATTTTAGGAGATTATAAAAATTCTGTTGTCATTCCCTTCTTTCCATCAATTAGCTATAAAGTTGCACATATTTTGCAGAAATTTAACTTTCGGGTTGTTTACTTCTCCCATCAATAAAATTCCAACTTCTATACTCAAGGACCCCATTCCGGATATGAATTCCTGGGGTATTTATAGGATTCCTTGCCAGTGTGGTTTAATTTACATTGGCCAAACTAAGAGAGCCTTAAAATTTCGCGTCAAAGAACATGAGGCATATGTTAGAAAAAAGGAAACACAGAAGTCTTCTGTTGCTCAACATTGTTGGTCCGAAAATCACACTTTCAATTTTTCTGCTGCCAAAATTATTCAAAAAACATCTTCCATTGGAGAACTGGATTTTCTAGAGGCATTTCACATTCATAAAAATCTTTCTGTTCTAGTTAACGATCCTAATTCCAATCCAAATTTGCCTTCGGCTTTTAGAGAAATTATGTTTTAGTTCTGGTTTCGCCAACAGATGGCGCCACTTGCTTATTCTTGTCCAGGCTTTCTTATCTTATCTAATCATTATTTCCTATCTTGTTCATTTGCGGTTTTGCAGCTGAAGATGATGGTTCGGTAAAACCATCGAAACTAGTCCTGTGAAAATTTTGTAAATTAACGCTGATTTTTGTTGTTTGACTTCTGAATTAGTATTTATCGGCGTGTTATTGTGTCTTAACGTAGTTTTGTTGCTGCTGCTGTAATAATAAAAAGAAAATAAATCTAAACGTCAGAATTAAATGCCGGGCCTTTTTTTAACGTTTTGGTGACCTTTATTTTTAAATATCAGTTCTGCATTAACCTAAATTCATTCATAGCAAGTCCAAAATATTTAAAAGAACCTAGCTTTAGAATTTCCGATACATTCCGCGCGCTGGAGAAAAAAGGTTTTTCTTCCCCTGAGATTTACCATTGCAGCTTCAAATCGTTGAGTTTGTTACTCAAAAATTCATTAAAGGTTTACAAAATATGAAATCGATACTAAAACAAATTCCAAATTTCACATTTGGGCTTCCACATGTCCTCATACGCGGTAGGATTACGTCATTCAAAATTCGTGGCTCTCTGTACCGTTGTTTTATCACAATGCGAGAAATAGACATACATTTATGTAGATGTTTCATTATTTAATTTCTTCAAATATAACACAGGTCTCTAACATTTGGTGGCAACAGTTTGAAAAGTGAAGCGGACATTTATAGTGATTCAATGCAAAATCGCAAAACAAAATCAATAATCCTTCAGGAACAAAGCCCTTTTGGACTGATAATAATATAAAATATTAGAACACTATACAAAATCCAGAATGCAATTAAATGAATTTAAATATTTATAGAAAATTACATGTGTATGAATTTCACGAAATATAACAACAAATCTAGAAGAATGAATGGAGGAATCAGTCTCTGGGAGAATTAGCTTAAAATATTAATAATATTCATAATTTTCCAGAGGGATACTTTTACAACCAATCTATTGCCTTTTAAAGCATAAAAGAGTGAGCTCTAAGTCGCGAGTCTTAGAAAACTAATTTTCTTAGAGATGAAAAAGAACAAATATGGCATGTCGTTCATTAACACTATTAAGGCGTTTTGATTTCACTGTCTTCTATTTACCCAGCTTCATTAAAAAACCATTTGTCAAAACAACTATGATATCATTTTTTAACAATAAGAGAGTCTACATTAACTTGAGTAAAACTCAAATTAAATTAACAGTCTTCACAGACATTTAAAATTGAAGATGCTGAAAAAGAACTTACATGACTCATCATTCACAAATATCTTCAAACCTGTTAGGCAATTGTTACAGGAATATATCCCAGGACGTAAGATAGCATGGCTGGGAAAATAAAATTTAAAAAAAATTAAATTAAGTAACTGATACTCTGGTTCAAATACTAGGCATAAGGCGAATCCTTTCTCTCCAATATATATTTATCGCCAATCTAATTTCTCGCCAATGGGCGAACATTCGTTTCTACACTTCCTAGTTTCATTATGCAAAAGAGACATTAATTTATTCTAACAAGTTATGCCAAAAACCAATTTTATTAAATTGTATTATTATTTTTATTTTTGTTATGACAGAACTGAAACCATATATTTCGCAACAGTAATTTTTAAAAATGATTATTCTATGCACTATTTAGATTTTTCAGGTTTCCAATGTCTTATGAGAGCTGTGTGCATTCAGTCTATTACGACGCCTTACCCACGCAACAATATATATTATTTATGTATAAAAATTAGTTTTTTCTCTCTAGCTACTGAATGGAACCTGGCAAATGTTTCTCAAAGAACATCGAAAGAGAGCAAGAAATGAGCTTATCAAAATATATAGTATAGACGGAACGAGTTAAACCTACTAGTAAATATTGAAGAATTTCTGGACGAATCATTAGCACGAGTGCAGCTAAGCAAGACCACTTGCTCCTAAAGCCTTTATTGTAGTATAACAACTCAGAGAAAAATTTGCCTTTGAAAATGCAAAAGTCCATATAAATTTTAAAAATGATGTATCAATTATAGCATTAGAAAAATTTTTATAAATAACGAAAAAAATGCACATTTTCGTGAAATTTTTTATTAATGAATCACAAAATAAATTAAATGCATTTTTATTCAAGCCATTCAAATCAAGTAAGATTAATTAAAAATATTATTAAGACCTGTATCTGTTACATTTAAATTACTGAGCGTGTGCATCAGTTAATAGGCTAATTTAAATTTGAAAGTTAAGTTAAATATTTTACGCTTTGCCAAATACACGGACACAAAGTACTAAAAATATAGATAAAACTATTTTAGTTCAAGCTGTGGCAACACACTGATTTTAAAGTTTCGTGTATGTTGATTAAATGTGAAGCGTAAATATTTTAGTCTTTGCTAAATGGCCACACATCAGCATGATAAAATATAAAAGTATTTTGTTTTGGAGAGGGAAAACATATTGCTTTTCATATAGCCTAGTTTGTAAATCAGTAATTTGTTAATTTCTCACAAAACAGGAAACAAGTAAACGGAAAGTTGGAAATAAAAAATATTCGAGCTTTCAGGTGCACATGTTCGTGTACAGTACGACATATACTTGATGGCAAAACTTGATGGTTTCGGATGCTATCGTCTTTCCACAGTGCGACTCAGAAACACATATTAATTATTTAATAACAAAAAAAAATTTTTAAATACCACGTTCCTTTGAACTAAAGCTGATATTAACATTTAATTAAGAGCTCTTACGTCAAGCAAATATAAGTGTGTAACAATGTAAATCCAAGTATGTAAAAAAGTTCAAGCATGAAAAGTTTTATCTTATGTCATTACATTTACAGTCTACATCCTCTCACGCGGGCAGAACATTTATGTTATGTAATTCTGACATAATTTTCAGAGGAATTTTGTATAATACAGAATCAGTTTCTTAAAAGAAATATTTTTGCTGAGATAAAGATCGGATTTCAGTTCGGTAATCTATCTTAAAATCTTAAATCATTATTTCCTTAAACTAAAATCATGAAGTGCACAGTTAAATCAAACGAAAATATTTAGTCCTAAACATTTTAATACCTGGCATTATTTCATAGAGACATACATCGGTCAGCTTTACCGCATACTCTAGGTCAGTATATCTGTAAAAATAGCATCATCTTCCCAAAGTAAATTCCTTCCTCTTGTTAAAAGAGAAATTACGCATTAAAACAATAAAAAATTAAAAAATTAGGAAACAGGCCTAAACAATATGTCACTGCTATCTTCTGCCCAGAAATGATAATTTTATCGTTATATTTTTATCGGAAAATGTCTAGTTTCTCTATCTGACGTAAAGGAAACTGTTCTAAGCCGTTTTTTGAGTAGTTACAGAAATTTAAGCCAGTTTTTGATTGGTTATTACAATGCTGTCATGGGTATATAAAGTGAAATCATTTGTTACATTCACTTAGGGTCAAAAAGATCCATTACCTTAGCAGTGACAGAGAACAACTAGAAGTTGTCGATCGCTCTTTCGAAAGATCACATCATGAGCACATACGACCACGCGGTCATTGGAGCTGGAATAGTAGGATCGTGGACAGCTCTTCGCTTGCTGAGTTTAGATAAAACAGTTCTGCTTCTAGATCAGGTATAATTCTTTGCTAAATTTAATTTCGTTATTTTTATACATCGTTTTTGCCTGACTAGTTCTATTACATTTGCATTTATTTGACGAACCATTTAAGGCATTTAGTTGCGTTTTAATTCCTCTGAGGAAATTTCATTAAAAAATTCATTCTTTGCGTTTAATTTGCAAACTATAGTGTATTTATTCAAAAAGTGATATTTTATTAAATACTGCAAGAGCTCTTAAGCATTAAAAAAGTAACAGAATTTTTATGATTCATACCTAATCTCTGAACGTGAGAAAAATCTGACATCATGACATCTCTCTTTTCTCCTTCTTTAAACAAGGGGAAAATAGAGATAGAAGTTGTATCGATTAATTATTGCCAGAAAAAATGAATTAATTATTGCTGACTTCGGAACAATTTTAAGTTGCAATAAAATATTATCAGGGCAATATATCGAGTATTCTTTACGATATTTTTATACTTCAATATACTAGTTGGAATGTTAATGAAAATACTGAAATTTTAACATGGCTCTTATTAGCAGTTTCTTTGCCATTTATAAATATCAAAATTGTCGTTTGTGTTTCTTAAACGTCTTCGCATAACGTTCGAATGATAACAAAGCGGCTATAGTCGAGAAGTGCAGAATCCTTCCGTCAATAATTTCAAAACAGGTTTCGTAGAATTTTCTAGAATAATTTAAGATTCATAGTTTGAATTACTCAACTGGAATCACTATTTAAGAAAACAGTGCTTGCAAATATACTACTAGGCTGCAAAATATGAACTCTGATATTTTATATGAAACCGTAGAGCAAAATGAAAAGTCATAAAATATGAATTAAATAAAAAAGATTGCTTGGACCTACTAGTAGCCGAAAGGTTAATACAGGTTAATAATACTGGTATTACGACTTGTGCTCAGTTCGATTCAGACTACCAGGTTGGCTTTTGCGTTTTTTCTTGTTTAATATGAGTATGAGAAATATATAATGTGAATATAAGTAATATAGAGAGTAATTTACTACAGCAAATTTTTATAATTTTTAAACTTTTTTTTATAAAAAGCCATATTCCATACAAGTGCAATTCTCCCACCCTTTCACAGTGTTAAATTTTTTCATAAAATTCTTTCGCTTATTTTGAGGAACTCTGTGATTAATATATACATCTAAGTTTCAATATTTAAGTGAAAAAGACATCATCAGTCTTTCCGGCTGATTTCGCATATATGCTCAGTGCCTGTTTAAGCTCATTTTGGGCCCTGGGCACCGACGATCTACGGGCCCTCTTGGCACTGGCGAATTCAATGAGGGGTTCTTCGATGCGCTAACAAATAAAACAAAATTTTAATGTTTAGGTTTTATTGTAAAAATATATATAAAAGTTTTAAAAATCAGTATTCTTATAAAAATATTAAAAATAAAAACAACATTCTAAAATATAATATAAAAAATTAGAAATAAAAATAGCATTCTAAGATATAACATATAATGTAACAAAAATTATAACATTCTATTTCGTGACTTAATATTGGCAAACTGACGTATGATAGCATCACTATTAAATTTCTCCAGTGCGTTATGTTCTATATATAATAGTGGCAATGCATCAAAGTTTTCTTGACTTAAATTAGACCTTAAGAATATTTTTATTCCTTTTAGGGCCAAAAAAGATAGTTTGTCTGACGAGTTAGGAAAGGGTATCGTTAAATAAATTTGCAATAGAGTTAGAATATTCGATAAAGTTGCTTTCGCCGTCTGGGTTTCATAAATCGTGTTTTCGTTTCAAATTTCGCACAATTCTTGAAAATGAATAATTTTGTTTTGTAGATATTCTTTGGTTTCGTCAATATAGTTCCTATATTTTTCACACAAAATGTCAATTGACATTTTGATTTCCTCCTTATCTAGGGTGAAAAACATTTAAACACCGATGTTGTTTCTCCTTAACATTTAATTATTTTTTAAGGTCTTGAGTAATATTGTCGCACATTACATTAAATAATTCAATTCTAAATCCTTCTTTCGCTTCTAAAGTGATTTCTATTTCAGTTGTTTCAACAAAAAATACTTTTTTCCTCTACTCTTTTAATTTCATCTTTATAGTATATGTTGGTGGTGTCCTCACCTTCGGAAAAAAAAAGTCTTTTGTTTCGTATCGATGGGCAATACGGACATGGACGTGCAGGTGAGAGGCTCCGATTATTTTCACAGAGTAATTTACTATTTTGCTAAAAAAATTTTATCTTGAACTATTGAAATTCATAACTGGCTGGTATTCCTTCACGCCTGGCGACTTCTCGCACAGGGGTGAAGGAATACCAGCACAGAAGAAGGGGGGAAATAACCCACTGAAATGCTTATGTTTGACAGTTAATTTCAACTAAGAACAGATAGGGGAGAACTTCGTGCTTTACAATAACACCTACAACTTTCAGTGGAACTTAAACATTATTACACAAATCAATTCAAGTCTAAAACGAATAGTGCTAGATTAGCACTTTAAGTTACGACTGAACTAGGTTGACTCGACAGACTTATCCGACGTGATAATTATTCAAATGGCCAAAAGGCATAAAAGCAAGTCTGCGCCATAGCAAGGTCAGAATCGAAATGTGCGCTGGCTAGCCAAAACACGTTCTGAATAAACTCCAAGATTCACTCGTTTAAATACACACTTCAAGTAGCTTTAAATTTACGTCCTGACGAGGAAATGCGAGAGAATATAAGGAGTTCAGAAAAGATAGCAAATATTTGAACAATACGTTAGCTTAACTAAAGAAAACCCTACATGCTTACAGACTGTAATACATCTCCTTAAGTCATACCACACTTGAATAAATTTTGTTGTGTTTTACACTGTACATATTCGTACCAAAAGTGTATACGGAAATAACAAAGCCTGCTCTATTTCCCATGTTGAGCAAAATATTAAGTCATATTTGTGCATGGCAACAGAAGGTTCTTAGACAAAACATATTGTGAAACAGTATTTCTATAATATTGATAAAAGTTGTGAAATTTATGATAAAGAGATACTAGAACAGCTACGGACGAAAGTGAAGAAATGATTGTTATTCTTCATCGGAATTGTTTGCAGTTCATTCCATTTGAGCAATCATGCACGTGATGCAAACGTACTAGTCTTTTCTGAGCGTCCAAGAGGCCATTTATTCAAGAGAAAGATTAGTTATTCTTTGGAGATCAGCTCACTCAAATTTTATAATGTGCGAATACGACCATGCTGTTTTTGGTGCGGGAATTATAGGGACATGGACAGCTCTCCATTTAGTGAATTTAGAAAAATCTGTTCTGCTTTTGGATCAAGTAAGTTTTCTCTTTAATGAAAACATATATCTAGGCAATACTTGTAAATCATGTGATATTAAATCATTTAAAGTTGCTAGGATTATTAAATTTTAACCTTTAACTACAATTTTTATATGTAGTGCATGGTTCCAGGGATTTTCAAGCTCCATTTTAAACGCCTTCAAGCATTAGATTATTGAGCTTACATCTGTGAATGAAGAAATGATATCGGAATTGTTTGCAGTTTTCCATTTGGCAATCATGATGATGCAGTAAGTCTTTCTGAGCTCCAAGAGGCCATTTTAAGAGAAGATTAGTTATTCTTGGAGATCAGCTCACTCAAATTTTATAATGGCGAATACGACCATGCTGTTTTTGGTGCGGGAATTATAGGGACATGGACAGCTCTCCATTTAGTGAATTTAGAAAAATGAAATTTTAAAAAAATCCTACTTGTTCATATAGTTGCAATTTTCTGAAATGTTTGAAGGATACTGTTAGCATAGTTAGCCTTCCAAAATTTACTGGATGGTCAACGGTTAGTAGTTTACATTTTAATAAACCGGCCTAATTATGCTTGATTAACCGGGCTGAAATGTTTGAAGGATACTGTTAGCATAAGTTATAAGGTATTTCTCCTGGTTTTTTAGCATGCCTTCGTAGTCTAGTGCTCTGCACGCTGGGCGCGTATTCCAGAGGTCCGTGGTTCGAATCCCGGCGAAGGCGCTGCTCATTTTTCATTTTTCCTTCTTCAGCAAATAAACCTAGTGACTCAACAGTGGCTCCCGAACTAAAAAGGTAGTGGATGATGATTCTCCACACCCAGGATTTGGGGATTGGGTCAACTAAATCCCAAGTAGCCCTTTAAAAGGGAGGGTATATAAAGTATTTCTCCCGCCCTTTTGGCATGCCTTCGTGCTGTGGTGATCTGCACGCTAGGCGCATATTGTAGAGGTCCATTGTTTGATCCCCGGCGAAGGTGTTGCTCGTTTTCCATCACTCCTGCTTCAAAAAATACCTAATGACTCTACAAAGTTAGCCTTCCAAAAGTTTCTGGATTGTCTTATAAAAGGTTTGTGGTTTACGTTTTTAACCCCTTTGGTTAACCTAGGATAGTAGATTGTTAACATGTCACGTTTTTAACCCCTTTGGTTAACCTAGGATAGTAGATTGTTAATATGTCTTGAGAATAACTTTACATGAGTATGTTTCAAAATTCTTTTTAAATTTATTTTTGGCTTTTAGATGTACTAAATCACCACTTTTAAATACATTAATGCAAGATTTCTAAATGAGAAGCATCAAAAGCTTTCATTCCTTGAACTGTTTATTGCACTATGAATATTCTTGAAATATCCCGTATTACTAGTATAATGATTCATGGTTTTCCCGTTCATGTCGATTTAGCAACACTTGAAGCATCTGAATTATTATGAGAAAATAACTGCATGTCATTTAATAATAAGCAAATAAAACTAGTGTTAAAATTAGCAGAGACACAGAATTTGGTTCAGCTTTATAAAAAACTTTTTTCTGTTAAGGGGTGTCAGAAACCTCTATATCGACAATGTTAAATTGGTCGTATTCGATGTACTTTTTCTCAACATCCGCTCTAGATACATGCTTGAAATTGTTTGTATAATTAAAGTATACCTATCTGATTATATTGAAATGAGCTTTTGAAACATTTTGAATTTTAAAGTAATTTACAGAATATTTTGTTAGGCATAGAAAAATTTAGCACTTTTCTCAAAAAAATGCTTTTCAAATTTTTCTCTTAGTTTATCATAAAAGGCTCCTTTCAGTAAATATTAGGAAAGCTAATAAATAAGCCATAAAAATTTTAGTTACCTGTGAGCAGTAGTTCCTGAGGAAAGGTACATCGAGTATAAAAAATCCCGTTTTGAGAATAACGCGTTTTTATGTAAAACTCCTCATTTATCAAAGCATTTGATGACAAATTAAAACTAGAATTTTTTCGTTCCCAATTTTCATAGAGATTAAAGAATGGTATTTTTAGAAAGATAAAAGTGTAGAGATTTTGAAAATACAAAAATCCGAAATCACAATTTTCTGTAGATTTTTGGGTTCCAACACTAAGAACTGCGGTAAATTTCTATTGCTCTAAGCAAACGTGGAAGTGCTTGATCGAAAAAGAGTGGGTTGGGTTCAGAACAACTATTCTTCAGCGTCCGGCAAGAACGAAATAGAACGTCATTCTGTTTCGAAGGTCTGTTTCTTGTCTTTCACGGTTAATCCTGCAAATGTAGTTTATTACAGCATCCGATATATTAATTAGAAGACTGTGAAATAAGCATAGTGTTCCATTTTACGAGTAAAATATAGCTTTTAAATGTTGAAACATTGAAATTATTGCTCACATTAATTTTTTTCTTATTTTGGGCATTTAGAAACTTCCAACATTTTTCTCCATAGCATTTACGTAGCTTTAACGACGTCACTTTTGTTCCGCTTGCGTAGGAGGCGTTGTAAGCCCTATAAATGTTCTTTCGATCAATGTATACCAGCTGTCGAATTCACTAAGCTTGTGATCCCTCGAAATTTAATTCAGACTGAAATCTCTGTAAAATGAATCTTTTTGTAAATTATTAATGTGTAATGAAATACGGCTTAATTTCTTTCAGAAACACATTGAAGGAATCATCTTTCCCCCTTCGTAAAATATCGAGTATTTTTCCCGTATTGAATTAAGCAAACAAACATCCTTAGGTCCAGCACTCCAAATTTCACATTTATTCCTTTTTCAAATATTTAAGGTAATATAACATTCTGATAAAACTGGACTGAGCTCAAACGAAATTACGGTCAATAAAAAATTCTGAACACCATATAACTTCCTTGTATGGCTTATTAAATTTTGCACATTTTTCCTGCATTTCATTTAAACATATTTTCCCGAATTTGGTTAGAGATATATTTCTTGTTCAGTCAATTCAGTTATCACTTCGAGGCAAAAAAACCCAAAACGTATTCATTAAAAATTGTTAAATACAGGAAAACCTAAAACACCAAACAGAGTTAAAATCAGTTAAAAAACTATTTTGACAATTAAAATTACAGTTTAAATTAATAAAAATCTGGCTCAAAGAGAGATTTTTCGGTACACAAAACGTTTGGCCCCACTCGGCAAAAAGACACTAAAGTTGGTGTAGAAGCAGACTTAATTTACTATGCAACTAAGTTTCAAATGTAAACAAGTGGCGGCATCGTTAAGCTTATTGGAACAACCTTTTGATAATTCTACAATTATTGCATGCAGATTAAACAAAGGTATGAAAACCTTAATCGGAACATAGTAAAATATAAATCAATCACTTTTAAAGCACAAAATGCACAATTTACCAATATATAAGAATAAAAAAACTTAGCTCACTGAGCAGGGTAACAGAGTGAGTATATACATATATTTATATACTTTTTGTGCGGCCAATTGCAACCAAAAAGGCAGCAGCATATCTATATATTATAGCAGTCCCATATACAAAATTGCCAACAATCTGAGACTATTCGTTTTTGAGTTATGTGAGATACATATGTACGTACATACGTACAGCCGTCACGAAAACACCTCTTTTAAATCTACAGTGGTGGCTAAAATTGTGGACACCTTTGGAACTTTTTATGTTTTTGAACTTTGTACGCTTATAGAAAAATGTTACGTTTCGCAAAATGCAAACTTGTGTATATCATTTTAAAGAGAATTTATTTATTCTCCCCGTACGTACAGATGTAACCCAAAAACATCGTTCAAAAAGAATCGAAAGCTGTCAAAATGAAAATTTTCCCTGAAATACGATACTCGAAATGTTTTTCTATTACAATACTTCAAGGTTAATTTACAAGGTTAATTTAATCTAATTTTCAGTTGAATATCTTAAATTGTTTATTGCATGCAAAGTAATATTTCACATTCTGTAATGTTTCATTTAATAAAATACTAGAAGTAATCTTCATATAACTTTAGACATATTTTCGTCTTTTAAAGAACTCTATGTAGCAGAAGAAAAAGCTGGTCGTAATTTAAATGACCGACAAAGGTCTTTGAAATGTCCAACAAATAAAAAAATATTACCGCTTATTATTTCTGCAATAGAAAAGATTAGAATTGTCGAAATGGTTTCCCACGAATGTTTGGAATCAAGTGGTACTTATCTCGAACTCAATTCCTCGCAATTCCGGAGGAGTTATCACCAAAAACAAACATAAACTTTAATAGTATAGATTAAAAGAAGGGGCAAACATTTAAAACAAAAATCATTTTAATTAAGAAAAAGGACGTTTTTCGGTGGGCCTTGGAGGTTTTATAACCACCAGAGAAGCAGCTTATGCCGTTTTTCTGGTTAAGCTAAAATCTGATCCAACGTTTATTCTTTCTGTTGCTATTATTGCTGCTGTTTTCATTTAATCTTTGCAGTGTGCAATCTTATTGTTATTATTATTATTATTTCTTAGTTTAGCAAGCCTTACACCCAGAACAGTTCTCAAGGCAATAGTCGCATCATTCGTATCGGCCACAAAGAAGATTTTATCACCAATATGATGCCTATTGCGTATGATATGTGGGAAGAGGTAGAAACATATACCAAGAAGGAGCTCATTATGTAAGTATAAGATTCAGTAACATTTTATTTTCTCATTCTCTGCCAGGGACGAAAGAAAGTAAAGTTTGAAGAAAAGATCTTATTAGTTAAACAGACAAAATGACGAAAATATGTCTAAAGTTATATGAAGATTACTTCTAGTATTTTATTAAATGAAACATTACAGAATGTGAAATATTACTTTGCATGCAATAAACAATTTAAGATATTCAACTGAAAATTAGATTAAATTAACCTTGTAAATTAACCTTGAAGTATTGTAATAGAAAAACGTTTCGAGTATCGTATTTGTTATATTGCCAAACAAATATTATTAAAAAATCAGTTGAGTTTAATTTTCACCAGTTTTAGGTAGAAAATGGTACTATTTGATTTCTCTTAAATTCAAGAATGGTGAACCATTATTATTTTATCTCTTTATTCCATTTATTTTTATTTTTTACATTATTTCTATTTCATTTCATGTTTTATGCGCACTAATAATGCAGTTGCTATCCATTATTTAACTTGTCCGTCAGTCATTCAGCTAGTCAAGTGGCACTAACCAAAGCCAGAAACCCTCAAATTCGCAGGATCTTATTTATCTAAACCCTCTATTTCGCAGGATCTTTTCAATTCGCAGGATCTTATTTATCTAAGAAATTCTGATACGGTCAAGATATTTTTCAGTACAAAAACTATCAAAAATATAGAGTTATAAACTATTAAATATATAGTAAATAAACTATTAAATATATAGTAAATAAACTATTAAGAATATAATAAACTATTAAGAATATATATATAAGTATATAACTTAAATGGAAAGGTTGCATGTTTTACGAATCGTATAAATACATGCAATTCTCAAGTTTTTGTGAACTAATGCAATAATCATTTGTTACTTTGTACTGATGTCAATAGTGGAGCAGTTCTGTATTTTTGACTCTAAGTTGCTGATCGCAAAATTTAAATTACATTTCTCATATCTCGATTGAATGAATTAATTATTATTAATTATACGAAGGTAATGAATGCTTTGTAATTCCACCTGGGCCATCTTTGGCGATAATCACTTTGAGAAACAATATTAAATTTTAGAAGTAGCTGTTCAGACGACCATTAAAATATGAACCCTTTCAGAATGTTTTCGGGTTTTTTTCCTCTTAGTTTTAAAATTCCTCTACGGTAATCAAAACTATTTTCCATGCTAATAGCATGTTTCATCACTTTACACTACTTCAGCTTTAGAAACCTTTACAGCCGTCAAAACATGTATAGATCTCTAAATTATGTTAAAAAATATCTTCACATTTTTCTGCTTTTGTTTCTTAGATATACTTCGAAATTATGTGTATAATTTTAAATTCCTTAGATTTCAGTGGTAACTGTTATCTTACATATATTTCTTATACTATTATGTCTTATTTATCCCTTTTGTCTAAATCCTGTTTGAATTTAGGTTTATTCCTTCTATAAATGATACTTTGTTCATTGTTATACTACCCGAAGTTATTCTGACTAACCTAAAATTTTACAGTAAATCTGGATTTGTAGGTTTGGAGTCATCTACGGAAAATAAGGATAATTACAGAGAGTATGTGAAGCAAATAAAAACAGTCTCACTCGAAAATTTCGAAGAGTTGACTACTGCCCAACTGAATAAAAAATATGCCCTAAAATTCAAGTTTGAATCTCTTGGAGGTGCTTACCTTGAAAAAAGTGGGGGAAGCATAATGGCAAAAGACGCTCTTCTCACCATTCAAGTAAGTTCATGAAGTCATAATATACTTCTAGATTCAAATGAGAATTCGGTCAGCGAAGCAAACCGATTTTGCTAGCTAAAAGCCTGTGTTAATTCTCCTAAATTTCATTACTGAAACTGCTTAATAGTATATCGATATCCATATGCATATTAAATTTATTATTAATTATTTAAGTTTTTTAAATAACCGTGACTTATATATCTTCCAAAAGAAAACTGTTACCTTTTAGTATGAGTTAACTTCGTTTAGAAAATCCTTCACGAAAAGATCTTTTTTTTAAGCAGATATATGTGGGGTGTCTTGTTTTCTGCCGCTGCGATGGACTTGTGTTTCCCAAGATACAAAAATGGAACCCTTATCCCATAACATAATTATACAACTTTCTTTTCTTTCCTAATCCTAAATGTGTCTCGTGAAATACCGAAGCTACAGATGTAAAATATACTTAAAATTGTTCAACTTTAGTAGGAAATATTTTGATAGAATCTGACGTGCCAAGAAAACGGTTCAGGTCTTAGAGAGTGAATGATATTTCGAACGACTTCTGATTTCATCTTAATATTATTTTAGCATATTTTAATTCCTTTTGCGTATCTTAGTGCGTTTATTAATTTTTATTTTAAATTTTTCAGTATTTTTAATTTCCAGTTTGGATATTTTTAATTTCATAGAGGCTTGTGCTGTGAGTTTATGCACACAAATAAATAATCTGCAGGAATAACTACTGCTAGAAATTTTAAAACAAAGCTGTCCACAGTCAAATCAACGTAACTTAGAACAATATTTTCAAAATTTCCTAAAGGACATTTGGCATTTATGAGAGAAATTTTAATAAGAATTAAATTTATGTTAATTTCTTTTCTGTATGCATTTTATCTCCTCTGAAGTTATCTTTAAAACCAGATATTTATGCGGAATTTACGGCAAACATCCAGTTTAAAACTAGGATGTAATCTTAACGCAAGTTTAGAGGAATTCGCTCCTGAGGACTGCCGTTTTGGTGACAGATCCCGCTTTTAACATCTAAAAGCAGGACGCTAGAAATTAAGAGCTACCGAAAGGTTTGCTGTAGATGTTCGAGAGTTAGCTAGCTTTCATCCAACCAAAATGTATTAGAGATCTAAATCGATGTTTTTGTAATCAAGTCGACCTTTAGCTTGCAAGTCACTGTTGTTGACAGCTGATAAAAAGTCGCATAACTTACTTAAATTCTACTTTATTTATATTGCCATAGATCATGCTTAATAAAATTTTATGTTATTTTTAACTTTGAGACTTATCTTATGTCTTATTAGTTAAGAAGTATTAAAGAAGATAAGTAATAATTAGATATAACTTATTAATGCCAGGCGTTAGGTTTGAGAACAAACAGTTCTAATCAGTTGCAACACCTCAGAAGTTATGAGCTGACTACGCATTATTAAACATTTTCATTTCGGAAAAATACTTTTATATGTGAGACTATAAGCTCCAAACCGCTTTTGTTCCGTGACTTTAAGCGCTTAATGAAAATGTATTTCCTCTGAATTATCCTCATTTGCTGCAATGTAACATCATTTATCATGATGATTAGCCGTGATAATAAATCACCGAACGTCACTACTTGTTCCTTTCCATCTTGTCTTCCGAGGATAGTTTTACTCGGTTTTATATGTTCCCGTCAAGGGTACCTGTGGAAATACTGTGTACAAATATTATATTTGCGTAGAAAGACGCAAATTTATATGCTAAAACTATGATCATATATAGAACGATAATGATAACCATCCTTATAAATGTGCAGAAATTTCCACGAATTTTGTGCATTACGAAATATTCTCATATTTGTTGTTTAATTATATAAAAAATTTCATAAAAATGATGAAAATACATTATTACGAAAAGCATCATGAACTTTATGGATCAACTAGCAATATAAGAATGCTTCAAATCTATGAGACAACAGCATGTCGAAAATATTTCTCTTGAACTGGATTTGAATATTTTGTTACTGAACATTTGTACAATTTCCTCCTTTTATTCCTTCAAACAGCGGTTTATGAAAGAAATGCAACATGATCAGAAAATCTTCCAGCAAAAGAAATTTTATAAGAAAAATTTATCAAATTTTGAGAAATATTCGTATGTATTTTAACAGATTTCATTGCGCAAAAGATGAGTGCGATTGCGCGTGTGCACAAATCTTTGTTATATGCGGCCTAAGTATCTGTCGCCGATAGTTTAATTAGTCGCCGATATTAGTTGCTTGCGTAACTGTAACTAGCCAATGGGGTGAAGTTGCCACGGCATTCAAATAGTCCATATTGATACCATACATGCACTTATCATTGTTTTAATTAAATTATCATGGCATTTAAGAACATTTAAATATTTTTAATTCATACAATTGTTGCTTATTATGCATTTAACTACATTTACATATGAATTACCTAGAAACTTGCAAATGTTGAGAAATTAAAGGAGACGAAACCAACTAACGAGTTGTGCGTAGTACATCTCATTAGGTAGGTTTACCGAAACTCCTATGCTAAATATCCTTTCGCGTAAAGAGTTTAAAATTTTGCCCGATTTTATTCCGGCATTGTATTTTCAGCTGAACATAAATTGAGCGTGTCAGGGGGAAGGTGAACATTTGTTTGCATTAGTAGTCATCTGTTTATAATCAATTTATAATATCTAAAACAGCGGTCATTTCGTATGACCGCCAGGCTTTCTACTAGTATATATATATATATAAACGAGAGATAAGAAATTTCAAAAATTAAGATTATAAATTATTAAATTCGCGTAGTTTGCAGCGAAATTTATTAAAAATTCAAGATATACTAATGAAATCAAAAGCAGTCGTTAACTGTATATCAAGAAAAATACAACCAAACTTAGAACAAAGAAAAAGCTCAATGAAATAGCATACGAAAATATAACCAACCGTTTAAAATCCTTTGGTTTTTTTTCAAGAGGCAGGCGAAAATTTTAACTTGAACCAACTTCTGAATTATGTTTGGGTGACTAAAAGTTTAGGAAATAAATTAAAAGTTACTTCCAAACAAAAAATAAATGTAATTAATTAAACTCATATAAGTCATAACAATTTCTTATTAAACAAATACAGAATGCAATAAAATGACCTGTAAAATATTAATTTTTAACTCTTTTTAATAAATTATCATTAAATAGTCCATTTCGACTTTACCGAGAGCAAAATTATTGTACAAATACGAATTTTCACAATTAGGAACAAGATAGAATATAGAACAAAGAAGTCAGACAAATCGGTCAAATTAGGAGCAATTAGCTAAATTAATATTTTCCAAAACTGTTACAAATTAAAAAAATGTTTAATTTTCAAAAGCAAGATTTAAAGAAACGAAATGAAAAATGTAAACAACTCTAGCAACGATCGCAACTTTCAAATTTATCAAAACAAAACTAAAAGAGGTACTTGTGATAAAGACAAAACAGTAATCACAATGTAACTAATTCATGCAATATCATTAATTCCGTGCAACATTTCTTCAACCAAAATAGTTTTATTAGAAACACTAAAACCTAATTTTCTCGCAAAAGAAAAAAGATATGATGTTGACACCATATTACGACTTATTAAATTATACATATTTTTGTCTGCAGTTTTATAATTCGTTTGATGAAAAACAGTCCTTTATTCTATTCTTACGTACACCGTGCTTTCATCCATTTCGTCAAAATGGACATTTTCGTTGAAATATTTTACAGGAAATTTTTCGCGATTACAATGTTTCCATTTTACTTCGTGCAAAGAAATAAAATTATTTAACAATTTATAATTGCATAGCCAATAATTCCAATTTTTACTCTGAACATTACTGGATAAAAAATAATGAACACATTATTAAAAAAGACAAAAAATATTTGCATTTGTGATATGAATATTCGTGACTGAAACCTGTACCCCCCCCCACTTCGCTTAAAAGAAATCAAATATTGTCTTTAAAATAAATAAATTTTAGGAATTGATTTCAAAACTAAATAGCATCCTTAAATTTGTAAAAGGGATTACATATTTTAAATGTTTCTTTTTCTATAGCTTTATGAAATTCAAAATTTTGTTATTTGTATCCACCTTGTGAGCTAACTATAAATGTTCGTTACCCCAAACGGTGCCGAGATTCATAATTTGAATGCAAACTGTGTAGAGTCATTAGGTTATTTTGATGCGGGAGATGCGAAAAATGAGCAGTGCCCTCGCCGAGACTCGAACCACGGTCCTCTCAAATACGCGTCAAGCGTGTTGACCACTACACCACGAAGGCATGCTAAGAAAGAGGGAGGAAAACCTTATAACTGATTTGTGCCGTTTAACTGTTTTACAAAATAACATAATTTATGGAATGTTAAATCATGATATTATGTCTGATGCACGTTAAAATTACACAGTTCAAAGCAGTTCTATTTTAAATGTTAACCCGAATAATAAAGCTGTTACAAGCTTACAGTTTTCAAAGTGATTTCTGTTTTACAATTTTCAAATAAGACTGTAAGTGTTAACGATATTGAAAGTTTAATTTTCAAATTTTATGATAATACGTACAATTGGGTTGATAATTTTTTTGAATACTTTGAGGGTGTATCACATTTGTTAAAAGCCAAACGAATGACAAAAATTAAATTTTATTAAAACATCTTTAACTGGAAAAGCAAAAATATTCATTCAAAGTATAACAGAAGAAAATTCGTTTAATGCATTTAGGGATTTATTATTAAATTTATATGGTATTCAATACCATTCTGCTCAGTTACACAAATTGTTATATACGTAAAAGGCAAGGAAATGAAACTCCGTATGAATACTTCGTAGTAAACAAAAAATCTGTGTTCTAAAATTAATATTGAAAATGCTGTTTAAATAGGCTGTATTATTAATGGTATAAATAGTTCTACACAAAATTAATAAATTTCTTAGGGCTGTAAATTTTTCGTGGAATTTCAAGAAAAGCTTAAAATGTATGACAAAATAAAGCTGGATAATGATACATGTAAATCCATTAAGCCTAGATCTACAACAAAAGTACATTTTGGAAGTAAAATAAAAACAATTATATGCAGTTTCAACTGCAGGATTTCTGGTCATGTGAGACGCTTTTGCAAAAATAAAAGGTAAAGGTAAAAAATGCAGTTAATGCAATTTATTTGAGCACGTAATATCAGAATGTGTAAGAAATATACAGATGTAAGCATCACGAATCATGTATGTGTAAACAAGAAACAGTTATAAGATGTCGATAAAATTGTTATATATTATTGGTAAGTATTGAATAAAAAAAAGCTCTTATAGATACGGGAAATGATATAAACGTAGTATCAGAAAATGTTTATAAATTAATTGGTTGACCTAGTATAATACGTTTATGTATATTCCGTTTTGTTTCAGTAACCTTTAGCTCTATAAATTTCTTCTGTTTATTATTTTCCTTTTCTTTTGACCAATTCATATTGAGTTGTTTAGTATGCTGAATGTTGCTGTAGTCAAATCACCGTTACTCGTCATTTGACGCCTATTTAGAAATCAATTCCATATCACGTATCTCTTCAAATGGGAACTTCCCAATGTTGGTTGCAGCTGCTGTAATTTAGCCGCTGCGTTTAAGTCTTTACAGACTGGATGGGCAGTTTGAATCTCAGTTTAAGAAGGGAGACGTCCAACTACAGGAGAATCTTGTGATTTTAGCTTTGGTATACTTTGGTAATAATAAACTAAAACTTATTCATTATTTTGAATTTTTAATTCGAATTGTTTAATGAGAAATTAATGATTATTTTGAGTGTGGAAAATTGCTTTTGGAAAACCTTCAAAAATCATTTCGGATATAAGTACTGCTTTCACACTAAACGAATTAAAATAATATTGTGCCAGTGAATGCACTAAGCCTCATATAACTACTACTAGATTACCTTCTTTCGACAGGTAGGTTGAGTGTTTAAATTAAAGCACATAATAACAGATTATTTAAAATTACCGTTAGACGACTCTACGAAAAACATGTCAGCGAAATGCAAAAGTTAATTAATTCACCTTTTAAACGAGGCATAACCACTACTCTATTTGAGTTATTATTTGATACCAAAATGAATGTAAAACAAAGTCTTAAACTTAAAGAAACAATTGGAGCAGAACTAGAAACAAATGTTTAAGTTCAGAAAGAAAATTTTAAAAAAGTATAACTTTCGAAGACGTTCTCCAAAATCTTATGAAATTGATGGTTTAGTAACAAACAAAAGAACTCAATTTGAAACGAAACTCGAGCTAAAATCAAAATATTAAAGACACTACAGAATTATAAAAAAAGGAGTAATGACACTTCTGGCGTTATAAAAGAAAAAAAAAGCGATTACATACAAGTGTTTGGCAGGATACATTAAAAAACGGTCTCAAGGAGAAGCAGACGTCTAGAATAATACTGATTATGACATTTAAACTCGGACTGATGCAACTAATAACCGAAGACTTTTCAAGCTACAAAATCTTTTATTTACCCTAATTGATGAAATTAATAATTAATGAAACTGATTTTAGCACCACTGTGTACCGTAAACCCTTTGCAGTTTGTTTACCACCCCATGCCAAGTCATGCCACCCTGTTTAAGCAAAAAATGGCTTCTTTTTACTATTATGTATTCCGCGCGCTTAAAGTTTGTTCCTCTGAATCTTTGCTTACCAATGAACTTAATTATTTGAGAGCAGTTGCGATTGACCGGGGATTTTCTCCCGTGATTATTGATAAAGCCGTTAAAAAATTTTCAGATTCCCATCAAAGAAGACATTCCACTGTTAGAAATAATATTAATGACCTTGTTGTGCTTCCATTTTATCCTTCTGTTAGCTATAAAATTGCACGGATTCTCCAGAAATTCAATTTTCAAGTCGGTTTCTCCCCTATTAATAAAATTCACCCTTCGATTCTAAAAGATTGCGTTTCTGTCTTGAATTCTTGGGGAATTTATAGTATATCGTGTCAATGTGGTTTAAGATATATCGGCCAAACGAAAAGAGCGTTGAAGTTTCGTATCAAGGAACATGAATCTTATGTCAGAAAAGGCGAAATTAACAAGTCTTCAATAGCGTATCATAGTTGGACTTTTAACCATAATTTTGATTTTGGCTCTGCAAAAATTATCCAAAAGGCTCCTTCCATAGGTGAATTGGGTTTTCTTGAGGCTTTTCACATTCACAAAGATTTAGCAGGTTTAGTTAATTATTTGAAGTCCAATCCAGTCCTTCCTGATGCCTTTAAAATTCTACTATCTTAATTCTGTTATTTTTGCCAATAAATGGCGTTACCTCGTCGCGTTTGGTACTACCAGAGGATATAAAAATCCGTTCATTGTTGCTTTCCATTATTTGAAGTTCAGATTTTGAGCGTAAGGTGCATTTGAACCTCGCTCCCTAATTTAACTTCGCTAATTTTTCGTGCTCGATCAGAGAGCCTGGCTCAGTAAAGGTAGGCGGCCAGTGCAACTCTGATTAAAAATCCAGTTATAACCACGTGCAGTGCTGATAAGGACCACGTGTTTCTGAGACTCCTTCTTCTTTATTTTCTTCTTTCTAGGTATTTCTTTCTCCTGATGAGAAGGGATCTTTAGCTGCCCTCAAAATCGATTGAGTGTTTCATTATACCTACGCTAAATACAATGGTTGTTTTTACGATTTTGATTACCCTAATTGTATTCCTTTAAGATGAAATTAAGTTTCCAGAAATGTTAAATTTGAAATGTACGTTCACGATGCTAGAGTTGCGAAGATGAAGACAATTAGGATTCGTCAACATTAACTCTTCCCTTCTCCCTTTCTGTTTCTTTTTATTTCTTTTCAGGTTCCAGTTTGTTCATGATGATTGTTATTTTTACCAAAGACAACAGTGATATAATATGATCAAATACTATACTGTGATTCAAGATGTCAAGAATATAGTAATGAAGTCGAAGTTGAATCACTGCAGAAAGTCGGAATAAGGGATGTAAAAAAAGATCTAACTCCATATTTAAGTATAATAATCTCCAGTTTATTCTAGTTTGAGTATTTTAATCTTGCGCCAGTGCAGCGTAACTATTAACTTTGCGTAAAGAAAGAAATCTCTAGCTTCTCTTTAAGGACGAGTAAGATGTACGGTGAGTTCTGTAAGAAGATAAGGCGTTATTAATGTTATATATAACTTGTAAAAATTTTATATTGAATTAAATATGTGTTGTGAATAGTAATGTAATTAGTTACCCATAATATAGTCCCATACATAAAATCCTACACAAATAGTAAAGTAAGTTAAGTCTTATATAGGTTACTGAAAACTAATGATACAAATTTGAATACATGTATATTCAGTTTTGTTTCAGTAACCTTTAGCTCTATAAATTTCTTCTATTTATTATTTTCCTTTTCTTTTGACCAATTTGTATTGAGTTGTTTAGTATGCTGAATGTTGCTGTAAGCAAATCGCCATTTCTCGTCATTTACGCATATTTTGGAAATCAATTCCATATCACGTATCTCTTCAAATGGGAACTTCTCAATGCTGGTTGTCAGCTGCTGTAATTTAGCCCCTGTGTCCAAGTCTTTAAAGACTGGATGGGCAGTGTTTGAATCTCAGTTTAAGAAGGGAGACATCCAACTACAGGAGAATCTTGTTGTGACTTGCAGGGCACAGAAGCGTTCTGTTCTTTTCTTCTTCTGCAAGTAGTATCCAAATCGATGTAAAGATAGATTAACCGAACAGATATAAAGACTTTGAAACTGGCACGTATACTCTTACTCGTTCGTCAGTGAGGTTTATTTTAATAGGAATCGTTTAGATGCGAAACATTATTTAAATTAAAAGCTAACTATAACTGACTCTTGGCTTTGGCAGTTTAGCGGTAGTGTAATTTGTCTGTATTCTATGTTCCAGGTTTTTGTTATTAACTGAAAATTGCGTCCTACACTAAAATGAAAATGAAAGAATCTATGAATAGCGTCACTAAGGTAAATGGCTATGATGAGTTCGAACAACTTGTTACTATTCATATTTAATTTAACTGTTATTTTTCAGTTGAGCGCAAATTCAATCAAAATTGAAGTGAAAATTTACATTAAAGTGCTTTGAATCTCCACTTATTTATAGCTCAGATTTAAGGACAATTTAATTACTACCAACACGTTTTTATGCTAATTTTTATCTTATTTTTCTAGGACTTGTTCCGCAAACGAGGTGGCCACTTTTGGGATGCATGCAAGGTACATCAAGTGTTTCCTCAAGGTGATAAAGTAAAGGTTGCGACTGAAAAAGGAGATGTGATAGTCGATTCTGTGGTGGTATGTGCAGGACCATGGACGCAGAAACTGCTAACCCCTCATCTAATACCTTCTCTTCCTTTGCAGGTCAGCATCATCAGATTTACTTTCTCTAACATTGCCGTTAGTAATGTTATGCGGATGCTAGGTACACATATTTCCACGTAGAATGTTGGTGTGCCACTAATAGGTGGTATTTCTTGCTCTCTGCATTTCATGTAGTAATTATAAAGTTAATTACTGTGGAAATAATTTGAAGAATGGTTTAAAATTTTAATTATTTTGAGTCCAATTTTATATTATTTTCAGTGCATTAAAAATAAACATGAATAATGACTCTGAAAAACTACAAATAAATAATTAATTTACACTGTGTTACAAATTTTGTTCAAAGATTTGATTAATTTTTTTGAAACTCTCAAAAGATAAGTACCTCAGTTAGGAATTTCGCAATAAGGATTGTAAGGATTATGTTAATTTTATTAACAGTTAAATTCTAGGTTACTTTCCTGTCAAATTCTTAACTTCAACTTAGTACTTCCGGCCAGAACGTAGTTTTGGAATCTTGCTGAATATTTAATTAGGATGAGCGGTATTTAATCCACGAAGTTACTTACAGAGTCGGAGAGAATCAGAGTTTCTGAATTACGCGCGTCTGCCTTTTTGTCCACTCTCTCTCTCAAAGCTGTTACTACGCTCGGCCGTACTCAGGCCCTTGCTAAGCTTCGTAGTCAAATAAGTTAAGGTTCCAACTCGATTTGAATCTTGATAGCTTCGGCTATAATTCTTTAGTTAATCTTAGTTTTAGTTTAATTCTTAGTCTCTTAAGTTCAAGCCTAAGTGTCGGTTTTGTTTGTACACTCCAAGGCGGAGTTTTGTTAAATCTTATTGAAATAATAAAGGGTTAGTTACCCTTTTATCTTGTTGTTTCTTGTCACTCGAACCTAAGCGATTATTCGCTATCTAGTTCTTAAGTCTCGTCACTTTCTACAGTAACTGAGATTTACGCAGTGAAAATCTTACAGGATAATCACTTTGTTTGAGAGCACATTTGAATGGGAACAGTTTTTTTCTGCAGATGAAAATTAATACGTCTGAAAAAAAGAACCGGGTTAACAGAATTAGCGTGAGGTACAGTTGGAATTTGCAGTAAGATATAAATAGTTTATAATTTCTTATCGTAATTATAAAGAGTTCTTTATAATTATGTAATTATAAAAAAGCTTATAATTGCTTACAATAATAATTATAAAGAATTCTTTATAATTATGTAATTATAAAGAAAGCTTATAATTATGTAATTATAAAAAAGCTTAAATTACTAATAAATATAAAAATTCTTTCTAATTAAGTAATTGAAAAAAAAGTGTATAATTAATTAAATACGATTTTAAGATTAATAATACGATAAATACAATTGTATTTTTTCTGTGTGGGTCGAAGACAAATTTAAGAAATAAAAGAAAGATAATAGGTTTTTCGTTATTTATTTTCAAATTATTTCTCACTTGGTAAGTTTTCGTAATTTTTATAAGCTTAAAAAAATTATTGAGTGATTGATTAGACATATTAGAATTTGAAATAAAGATATATCTTAAAATGTTATAGTTAACTATCGGTCGTTTTGAATCATAAACGTAACCAATAGAAATTTCTTGTAGGTAACCAACTTTTGGATTTCAAACAGAATTAAAAATAAACTGGAATTTTTTCCCCATGCTTCATTATTGTAACTGTTTTTATGTAATTTTCGGTAACTATTTCGTAAATGAAATTTAAATCTAAAATATTTTTCTTAAAACCCTCTTTTAATTTTGTAGAAAAAATAGATCCAGCAACTATTTCCAGACCTTTCATTCCACCCGCAAGTAATTTGAATTGCAGATATATAATTGTAAACAATCAAAGGAATTTTTCTTGTCTTGGATATAATTTAATAAAGCGTCAACAAATGTTCACAAAATATCGTATCAGATTGATTCAGAAGCTGTCTCGGCTTCACAATCCACTTTAGAAAATTATAGATTCACTTATAAACTCTTCATAGTATTTTATCCACAGCTGTTTTTATTTTCTTACCCTGTATTTCTAAATTTTTAACAGTGATTTTTAGTTTTTCTGTGTATGTTGTAGTGCACACTGTATTCTGTCTAGCAGTTTTCTGTTGCACAAAGGCAAATTCCTTGTTCACTATAACTCTGATATTTTCCATTCATTGCAATAACAATAAAATTACGCGAATGATGCCGAAATTTAGTTAAATCGCAATAAACATACTCAGAGAAAGCGAACAGGCGAATATTGCTTAAAACCATCCACATTTCATGTATTTCATGAAGTGTATGTATGATATAACAAGACAAAATTTACGTTTTCAAAAACATTACAGTACATATTACATCTTCAATACTTAGAAAAGTAAAAAAAAAATGCTTAAATGTTTCCGGAAATATCAAAAAATAATTTTAGCAAACAGAACATAATATATTTTATAATATAGCCTTGTAGAGACATTAGGTATTTTAGTAGCCGGAAAGGTGAAAAGGCTCAACGCTCTCGCCGAGAATCGAATCATGGACCTCTGGAATACGCGCCCAGTGTGCAGACCACCACACTACGAAGGCATGCTAAGAAGGCGGGAGAAATACCTTATAGCCTCACTAGATGTATCCTTTAATAGATGTTTCAGATGATCCATTTAAAATGACAATGTGACTTCTATTACTACGCAGAATTCTTTATTTTCAACTATAATATCTTAAAAGATAATAAGCAGTGTTTTGAATTTTGGTTGCACTTAACAGGAATTTGAGGTTTTCGTACAGCTTGAAGATTTTTCATCAATATATTGCTGTTTTGCTTTAGCTTAAATGTCATCACATTAAAATGTGTTGTCATTTGTAAGAATATTACTCTAGAAATTCAGACTTCCTTTCAATGGCAGTGATCGGATTCCATTAACGGGCTCTTAATTTCCTGGAGATATTATGTTCCCAAAAGAAATTCACGTAGGAACTCTTACACTTTCATTTCTTACCTTATAGAATCTCTGGGTATTCTTTGGTAACAACACATCTTGGACTCTACGTCGAAGACGAAGTAGCGAATTTTCGCTATGTCTTGACGAAAAATTACTTGATAAGCAGGTTTAAAATAATCTTTTATTTTAAACTAAAATGAACATACGTTCGCAATTGGTGCTCACAATTCACCACCACTTGTGGCTACTTAAATTAACGGAAAATAAGAATTTAAATTCCTATTAAATTTTGAAATAACTAACGAGTGGTTCCTTTGAATAACTAACGCTAAATCGACTGCATACAGCGAAGGTGAACCGAGAAATATCAGTATAAACTGTAAGATTTCGAACTAGAGAGCTAATTTCAAACTCGCAGCATAAACATCGGTACTAAGTCCGCTATTACACTCTTGAACTCTTGACACCCAGCTTAAATACTGCTTCTGAAACACATTTAAGTTTGAATACTAAGTCGTTGCAAAATTCACTTTCCGGCAGGAAACTGAAATCAGGAGGGAAAGGAAACGAAAACTAAAAGTAATTGGTTAGAATAAAATAAATCCTTACAACCAAAGTAAAAGTTTTCTTTACTTGCACGTAATATCTCGTTTTGATATTAGCAGACCATGTACTAACTTCCTTTTGGCAAATACATTTAAATCTAATAAGCCCTTACTACATAGACTTCTATCAAAATTCCAGTCACATTACATTTATGGTTGTTCATACTCATGGTGATTAGCGACGCTGGCTACTGTATGTTTGAACTCCGGTGAAGGCTTGGATGTTTGTATGTGTATAGTGTCCTTTCGGAGGAAGCTCGTAAATGCACGCCAAAGCGAAGTCTCTTCAGAAGTTTGGTGGCACAGTAAGAAGAGTAGGAGGTCTTTGACTCTGCCTCAAAGAGAATTCAGAATTAGGACGGAGTTGATCAAAGACGTATTTTAACTTATAAGATGACCACGATCCGTGCAAACGACAGGCGCAATCTCATTCGCTCTTAGCCACGTCGAACTTCGTAGGTTTATTCTGATGTTACTGTTACACACATGAGATACATCGCAACAATAATCAATATAATAGTAATAACATTTTTCATTGTGCTATAAAGTAATTAAAATTATACCGTTTTCTTGACATTTCAGCCACTTTCTGTGAAGGCGTTTTATTGGAAAGAGAAGATCAAAGGTGCTTATGATGGAAAAAAAGGGTTCCCAGCTTTTCTTCATATATCCGAGCCTCACGTGTTTGGACTGCCAAGTATTGAGCATCCTGGCCTCATGAAAGTAAGTACACTTTTTTCCAATATTCTCTCCGCATTTCGCGTATATCACAAAGCATTACAAATTCCAATGATAATGACATACGAGTGCAGCGGTAATTACATTGTCATCTAAACTAAACTTCTCACGTAAATAAATTTAAATGCAAAGCTATTTTTCTAAATCTGAAGTATGTGTCCATTATTCGAGTACCCAAGGCATTTTACCTTGGGACTCATTTGACTTTACAGTATTTTAACAAATGTACTGGAACCTGAGATTTTCGTTTGCCAAAATGATAGTAATTTTAAAATATATTTTTAAAGGAACTTCGCTACTGTTACAGTCTATAATTATTGCGACTGACTTTCCACAAGTTTCTGGAAAGTTTAAGATGGAATTTTGCACATTCATTCTTTGATGGTCAGCAGTGATTTAAGGCCATTCACACACGTTCTCACATTTTTTTAACAGAGCTTAAACTTGCTCACATGGTAATCTATGGAAAGTAATAGATATTATTTACATCAATCCTATTAAACCATTTAATTATAAATATTGATTTATGAAGGGAAGTGTATTGATTAACATATGAAGCCATACCAAGCTATTTCAAAATATGAGCATCACAAAATTATCTAGAACGTCAAAGGAAATCTAGAAATTTATAGTTTGTTCTGCTGGAAACAAAAGATTCAGTTTATTCTACAGTTTAATCTAATTTTGCCAGTAGATAAGGAGCTTTCTCTCAGCTACTCTAATTTCTAAGTACGACTGCCATACAGCTAAACTACATACTAAAATCCCTTCTCCATTTAACATTCTAACCTATTTTATTGCATCATATTGCAGCTGTGAGAAAGCTTTCAGCACTAGATTCTACTTTTGTTGCCTCATTTAAACAGAAGTTCTTTCAGTCCTAAAACCTTATTGAGCACTTAAATCTGTCTCATTTGCCTCATTTTAAATAATCATTATGTTTTTATTCAGATCTGTATTTCAGATGGCAATCCGAGATGAGTGATTGTGTAATTCATACGTAAGTGAGCAATTTATGTTCCTTGGCGAAGCTTGTAGGAAATGAATATCTAGTAATTTTTACCTTTTCTTTCGTTTTAATTTAAATCTTCGTTATTTAGATATAAACATAGAGCATAATTCTGGGTGGCAGATTTTGAAAGTGCCTCCATTTTTTGGTTCGTAAGTACTTTTCCTTTACGGTAATTCAAACTTTTATTTGCCTGGTACATATTTTGGCTGATTCTCATGTGCATTCTAGTTCAATTCTGATTCTGACTGTGTTGTCAGATCTAATTCATCGGACTTATCTATTTCTTTTCATTTTATTGTGATTTTTTTTCGTGTTAGAAATGGAAAGGTCAGATCCCAATGACCTTCCACTTTATACTTATCAGAAGACCTCCATACACATTCACTCTTTCGTTTGAGCTTATATTAATTAATCATAAGTTCTGTTTTCAAAATAAATTGTTATTGTTTATAATGTAGTTTACCTGATACAAGTATCCCAACTAGAATCATCTATTTCTTAGGGTTTTCCATACAGCTCGATCAACATGATGTACCTTTGTTGCCTGTTGTACATAAGCATGGAAGATAAGCCAGGTATTCTAAAGAAAGTAATTTCAGAACTGCAGCCAAAGGTGAAATCCTAGAAAGTTTAAAATTTTAATCTGAAAATTCATTCATCGGTAAACGTATCGTATTAGCCACATCTACGCTCTAAATATAAATTAAATAAAAGATTGTTTTTCAATATTAAATTCCACTTAATAAAAGTCTGAATTGTCAGTTGCAGTCGGAATTATACGGCACTCAAATATGCATGTACCTACTTCATTGATCTATTTAATCAGTTAGAGTGAATGGATGCATCCTGTGAAGCAGAGTATTTAAGATTTTACTTTTCTTTTCAACTATCAATGATTTAATAAAAGAAAGAAAAAATTTTCTAAATTCTGAAATTCTTTATTCGACATCATCTGCATGAGAGATATAAATGTTTTACAAGTCCGTGGTTGAACAAGATATCAGAATTTGTTTTGTTACCAAACAGCCCTTTCGACATGGTTGTAGGGTAGCTGGCTGCGTTACCTTGTTCTGGCATATCTTTGGGTTCGGCTTCGTTAACTCCGGAGTAGACAGAGATTTGTATATTTGTTGTGAGTCTTGGTGGCACTTAAAATTATCTTCTCGCACAAAGTCACATTATGAGTCCATGCGGAAAATACTCTCGACAGGTTCATGATAGAGGGATGGATGTCTTTTGGATCTGTGCTCCGAGAAATTACTCATCATACCTGGAACAGAAATTCTCTTTTTTGAAAAATTGTCACCCTCTGCAGCAAAGTTCTCGATGATGAGACGGCTCAATGACCGATGAGTTCGATCATTCGTAACAAATGAATAACTAGCAAAATTCCCGGCGCGTTGCGAAAAATTCTTTTGCTTCGTATATTTGCTACGTGTGTAAGAGGATAGTTAGATCACTTCTTTTTCTCTTATTACGCCTAGGTGAATTCTAAGTAGTATCTCATTTGCAGTAAATAAAGTTAAGAAATTTTTTAATTTCTTAACTTTATTTTTAAATTTTTAAATTTTAAATTTTTAAATATTCGCGGTATTATGTATAAATCGATTAATTAGATATAAATTTAGTTAATAATTGGAGATCGTCCTGTGTTATTCTCGCATCCTAATATTTTTTTGGATGCGCCGTATTAGGAATGTCACATCCAAATTGCTCACTTATAAAAGAATTCTTCATGCTTGTTCTCAAGGACAATCATTCGACTTACTTTCTCTTATAATCTTCCACATGCGCTGCTGTTAACCTTAATGATACAAACAAAATGCAACTATTACAGAATAACATTCTTCGCACCATGACTTATTCTTGCTAATATATCAGAAACTGAGATCCACCCTCTGACGTAAAGCAGAAATTTTAAATAACACAAACAAGCCAAAGGTAGCATTTTTCCAAGAAAGTAGCAAACTTCTGTATAAAATATTCTTTATGAAACATTTGGGATGGAAGTATTAAGGCACCTTCGTCTAACCTGTTCAATAAACTCCACGTATAACAACGTATTCGGCGTACTTCTACATTGGTATGCTTACTTTTCATATCATGTGTCTTGTCGTTAATTAAATTGTCTTTCGAATTTCGACTTCTCTGTTGATATTTGATGTTATACCTTACTAATTACTGCTGGCAGGAATTACAGATATTAATAATATCTTCATATTATTTCTTCCTCCATACAAAAAATAGCAGCCATCGAGAAAAACGAGTGAAGCACTTTTCTGCGTATGCAATTCCTAACATCATTTGTAGGTCACTACTATATCCGTAACAGAAGGCTAGGTAACATTCAAATATGTACTAATAGTAGATATATTTTAGTTTTATCACATCATTCACTTCTTATCTGTGGAAAAATGGCAACTATGCCTGTCTATTTACAGTTGCATACATTTATTGTTATTTCTCCTTACATGTCGCGGTGCATGGAGGTTCTCCTCTGTATGATCCCGATAACAAAGATACGAAAATAGATACTGAACTGGTGAATACTGTCAAAGACTACATTAAAAAACATTTACCACTGCTGGAACCAGAACTGGCTATGGTTGAACATTGCATGTACACGGTAAGAATATTTATTGACATTTTCTTTCTTTAATTGAATTAAACCCGTTATTCTGCATTATGTATTTATGATCCCATTCCAGAAGCTACATTAGGATGTGAATGCTGCCCAAACGTTTTTGAAGTGCGTTTAGCACATTTTGTGATATGGCCTGAACATCATTTCCTCTAATAAGATGAACTAAAGTTTCCTTAAAGCTTTGGAAACAGAAATGGCAATAGTGTCAGATGTAGCGAATGTTAAGATGGAATAGTTGTATGAACTTTTCCGCCGAAGAACTGTTTTTAAGGAAGCTGTGGCTCGGTACATTTGGGAGCAATCTTTGTCCATGCGTATATAGGAGTGGATGTCGAGAAGAAAACTCTCTTATCTGCTTGAGAAACTTTCACTTCTCAGAGCTTTCATTATTCAACGCTACCTAAATGTTTTATCTTTCAACATATTGCTTAACTAACTGAAGGATTTAAAAACAGTATTCATCCATGTGCTTTCCTTCAACCAATGTTCAATAAGTGTTTAATGTGCTGTTAATGGAAAGGTTTCAGTTAGAATCGCAATGAAGCCAGCTATCTATTTTTTCCTATAATTAAATCTTGATATTGTTTCACTATTCAGAAAAAATAATTAAAGAAAAATGTTTCTTTAAATGATAACGCAAAAAAATATGCCCTATATAAATTTTATAAAAATGCAATTTTCAGTTAATTTTTGGAATCTATTTTAATTTTCGTAAGTTTAATGGTAAATGACAGAGTGTTGTAATTTATACCTTAAAAGCATTTTGGTCATAAATTATTTCAAGTTTTGGACAGATAGCGAAAATAAAAGCATGTTGTGCAGTTGGAATATATTTTCATCAAATTTGGGGGTAAATTAATTTTATATTCCTTTTCAGATCACACATTTCATCCTGCACGTTATCAAGTATTTCTGGCTTATTGCGCACCCCATATTTTATTATACTTTCTTTTTTCTCTTTAAAATAAATATTGTTTAAAGTCTAAAAATGATACACGTGATAAAAGATTACGTAATTTGTGTTGTCGTATTCCAGGAAAATACATTTCGGAAATTAATTTTCTCTTAGAATCAAACAACACTGAAACTCTTACTAGCTCTTCTACAATTGGGCTGTGGATATCAAAACTTTAAGCCAATTGGGGCACAAATGGTTTCTCTGCAGCACTTAGCCATGATGTATTTAGGGTCAAGCAGAGGAAACTGTCTAGCCGGCACTATTCTTTTACTTTTACTCTTGGTATCTATAATTATACAGAATTTAAAAGAAATCAATTAAATCAAGGTCTTGTGCTCCGATTGTCAGAACTATTAAATTTGAAGGCTACTCGCATTGTTAATGCTGTAGTAGCATACAACGTAATGCGAAATAGGAACTTTTAGATTATAGACGATTCTAACATCAAAGTATTCAGCTTAAAACCGCTCAGAAAGAAAATTTCATTAGAAATTAGAATAGAATAGAATGACTCATTGCCTAATATGGGGCGATGTGTATTTCTAATCGTAACATATATGTTGCATAATCAAAAGAATATTTTTACTTGTTGTATTTTTTTATTATTTTTGTTTATTTTTCGAAAGTGTGTTTCTGTTTTATTATTGTGTAAAGTATTGCCTCATTTTTGTAACTATATTTCCTTTTTTATGTGGTAACAGCTCTTCTCTAATTCTTCGATATGTTTCTTTTTGATTTGTGGCAACAAAGATTCCGTAATGCTTTGAAGTTAGAACACCGTTTTTGATTTAGTAGATGAAACATGTCGTTTCAGAACATTCTTTCTTTAAAAATATGTAAAATAAATGTTTTGTTTTTTAACTCGGATTATACAAAAGTTATTTTGTTTCAACAATATAACTTACTAGTGAAACTGAAGGCACTTATTATTTCCTAATAGTACTTTGATGCTTACCAATCACAACAAATTTCTTAATAAAATAAGTACCATTTAAGCAGCAGTTTTCATGCTGTAGGTTTAATTCTTCTAATTATACATTTTTCGAAGGACAAATGTATAAGAATGAAGGCAAGGCATAAACATTGTTTCCCATCTTGGCAATGCTCTCGTAAGAGACCTGAAGGAGAGAAATGTTGTAATGCATTAATAATAATATATCATGCAGCTTACTCTTCATAATGCATCTTTATTACATGTGTACTGAAAACAATTGTTTAATCTGATCAATAAGTTACAAAGGATATTAGCACTGATATTGTCTATTATTTTCTTCATTCAATGATTTCCTCTTCTTAGCAGACACTATGCTTCTTTAGTTCGTTTATCGACTGAAGAAATAAGGAGAAAAGACATTTAAAAGAAAACTGTAGAACTTGGAAAATAGGAAATGTGATTACATAACGAAATTCAATACTTTACAATAAAAAAGGCTAGACATATTTTTAAAATAGATTTTTCGCCAATAACTTGTTTCGTAAGTGTAATTCGAAGCCAAGTCATATATTTTCCCAAGTATTCCATTCAAACAACCAATGTTATTTCATCATTAATGGTTAGGAGTTTAAAGTGAAGCTATACGTACTGAGAATTAAGTAAAAATGATGAGAAAGAAAATTCATTCTTTAAAAACTATTTATCTTTCAAGGGATTTTGTTGTATTGATGAAATTATTCCATGAAAATACATTTTGGAATATTTTGGGAATAGCCAATCTGTAACTACATAGACTCGTTATTTATGTCTTCTAATATGTTTGATATGGGAATTGATAACTTCTAATATTTTTTGTAGGTTTTGAAAGGCTCGTTATTTATGTCTCTTCTCTTTCACGCTATTGTTCTTTTATTTGAATAATATACTACTATTTTTGAGATTTCGAAAAAGCTGCTTCCCTTTGCAGTACATGAGAAATTTATTTTCTAAATTACAACGCAAATTTTCGTCAATGCAACAAAATCCTTTGAAAAGATAAATAGTTTCTAATATTCTTTTGAGAATGCTCGATGGCAACTAGGATTTCTAGCATTAACACTATAAGTGCAATTAATTAAACGTTTCAAATACCGTTCATTATTTATCTTCTGAAAGTTCTAAATTTCCTACTAGAATTTTATTTTTTGCATCAGAAGTAAGATCTAATCATTGCAAGAAAATTATTAAGCGAAATGTAGATCGCAGTCCTCTATATGTGGATTTCTAAAACTCTATTAAATGGTAGAAACTTGATTCATTAGTTGAAATATGTTATATAATAAGTTTCTAATATTACTGTTTTGAATAACCAAGAAATAAATGTTTTATTAAATGTTAAAGGCAAATAAAGGATAAAGGTTTTCAAGTCATAGGTAATAAAGACCAGAACCGAGCAAAATACACCTAACGTAGAATCTCGAGTACAAAACCTTTGCTCGTATATTGACATTGCGGAAATGTTACTTTCCTATCTGCATTCCCTCTACCAATAAATTTTTCATAAATCACGACATACGTACTATGAATGTGTTCATAACGTAAGAGCATACTCATAATGTGACATGAGATAGATAAAAAAATAATCCTAATAATTTCTTATCCTTCTAATTCCTTTAATCCTATAATTTCTATACAATCATTGACTTGGTAGGAAACGATTTTACTGCATATTAAGCGGAATTATATGTATGTATTTTATTATTTATTTATTTTTTTACAGATGACTCCCGATGAAATGTTCATTCTTGATACTTTACCGAAGTATAAAAATATTATTATAGGAGCTGGATTTTCGGGTAAGTGATGGAGTAATAAATAATAAAATATCATCTGCATTAACCTGAAAAATCTTAAATATTCGCATCATAAGGTTTTGCACCGAAATAAGTAATCGTATGCCCTATTTAAGGCTAATTTTATACAGTCATCAGGTTTGTAAAAGCGAGAAACACGAAAAATATACAGTGCTATTTCCAAGATTTGAATTAAGAGCTACTGAGTTCCAGTCGGGCGTGCTTCCAGTGACTGTTAACGAACATGATTCAATATACTAAGAAAAAGAATGAAATAGTTACATGAAACAGCTTGATACAGCGGAATGTATTACAAGTTGTTTAACTAGTTACAAAAAACTCTGCAAAAGTTTCTGACTTTTTATAATTGGTTATGCTAATGTTAATTGATTAAATTTATATTATTAATTCTGGAACTGTCCAGAGACGGTATTAACAAAACAGTTTCGTCTTCTAGTGATAATGAGAGCGTGAGGAGTTAATATAACGCACATTTGTTTTCGAAAGTACTGTGCATATAGTAGCTGTGCATATATGAGCTGTCGTGATAGTTCCTAGGCTGATGCTCAAGAGAATAAGGTTGGTGTGCAAATTTCAGATGTTTCTCCGTGTGATACGATATGTTCGTTCTCCCTTTTGACGCTTCATGTCAAACAACGCTTTTGGTAGATCTTGAGCATCCATAAGGACACACTCGTTGTTTTATACATACTTTTAGCTGCCGTTTTTTAAATATGCTTTTAGCCAGCTTATGAAGTTTCTCTGTAATTTGTAACATACGTTCAGACGCTCATCTGCTTTAACACCGAGATATCTTATGATTATCTTATGATTTTATGTTTTTTGGCATGACGTTTGATAAACGGTGTTCTTACATGAAGCTTGCTGGGGGTTATAATCAAGACCTGTGTTTTGTCTGTAGAGACCAGCACCTTGCGTTCCAGCCTCCGGTTTGCCAGTTAATCAATGGAGGTTTGTGCAGTCATCTCATTCCTCGGCCCTATATCGACTCCTTAAGGACAATCTCTATTATTCTAAGCTGTGTAGACGCCTTCTTTCGTTGTGAACGTGGACATAACTTAGGTAACTGTAGATAAGATCTAGTAGTACATTAAAGTATTCGGTATCTAGTAACTGCTTGAGCTCATCGTGCGACTACAGTAAATGGAAGACTCCCATTCACTTCAGGCCCATTCATTTCTGTGGACATACAGTCCTCAGAAATTATAAGTGAGCAATTTATTGCATTTGTTTTGCGCTATAAATGCAATAAGGTGGTTTAGGGTAATCAGACGCGGTCTACTAGAGGACTGCTAGTAGAAACGACAAGCTCTAAGTCCACATGTTTGCGTATTTAAAAGATGTCTGAAGTTTGAAAAGGTGGCTTAGTTCTTGCAATCTGAGTCTCAGTGTTGATTTTTTCGACAACAGGAAGGAGAGAGTTTGGGTGATACTACTTCGTTTCGTAGAAGTTCTGCCACTTAAAAAAATACCTTTTCGCAATCTTATCAGCTGTAGGAAAACTCCATCAATGCCTGCCTAATATGCTTTAAGAATAAAAAGTTACGTGGTATCGATTACACATATTATATTATTGCGCTTCCCATCTGGCCTTGATGCTTTGCTGAGATAATCATGGTGTGTCTGAAGGAGAAATTTCTTGCATAGAATTTGTGTTATCCGTTTTGTACGTGAATTTACAAAATACACTTTGCAAAAGTATTGTAAGTATGTTCATAATTTCCTTTTGATCTTTCATCATAACAAACGATAAATGCATGTTATGGAAAATTGCTTATTTTATTTAAAAGCTGTTGTATTTGATCCAACTATGCTCTAAATGATAAACATATATGCATCTATCAAGCTGCAATTTTTTATTTATGTAAATGAATCTGCTTCATTTATAGGAATTGGATTCAAGACTGCTCCTGTCGTTGGTAGACTATTGAGCGAATTGGCAGCCGGAATCGATCCTTTTTTGGACATATCTCATTACAAACTTTCTAGATTTGATGGATACAAGGCCGAAGAAAGAACGGAAGAAAAACCGAAATTCATCTTTTGCAAATCATTTTGAAATATACATTAAAAAACATCAAGAAACTGTATGATGAAAGTCTCCTTATATTTGGACTTTGCGAAATTATTTGAATCGCTTTTAATTGTAACATTTTGACGAACGTTTTGTGATTTAATTACTTTAATAATAAAAATATGATCTTCGGTTGCGTAATTTATATTCGCTTATAAGATTAACGCAAAGTAAACGGAAAATCGGCAACAAAAATCATAAGCTTGTTTAAAAATTTTAATAGTAAATTCATATTTTCACTTTCAGATTTTCAAATTTATATTCCGAACGTTTTCCATGCATTTTTCGCAAAATTACGTCAAAGACTTTTTCACTTAACCAATTTTTATGTTAAACCAGCTTGTGAGTGCCGTTCAATTGTAATTAGAGTGCAATCGTATCAGAAAGAATTTCGTGCAGTTCTGAAAACATTTGAGAGAATACTTAGTTTGCCATTTTACTTTCAACATTGTCAGTTACTGCTCTACTTCATACCAACAGCTAGCTGAAAGTAAATTAAATTACAGTAAATTAAAATTAAATTTATATATATATATGCTTGAAGGTATGTGAGCAAGTAAAAAAATGAAATATGTAAATTGAATTTTTAATTTACTATAGCCCCTTAATTCTCTGTTTTAATTTGGATATAACTCAACCTCTATATAACATATAACGCTATAGCCAACATAACGCAACGCAACCTCTATATAACATATAAGGCTATAGCCAACATAACGCTGATAACTATCAGTATCGAAACTTTTAATAGCATCCTTACTCTTAGGCAGATAGCCCTCAAGGGTTTGCCGTAATCACATAAACATAAACGAAACTTTTAATAATAAGGAGACTGAAAAGCAAAACCTTTTATCCTTGGTCGCCGTTTTTTCGGATTGCACAGAACTGTCCTTTCGTCGTCGATGGGGAATAGCTGATATACTTTCATATTTGTAATCGATTATGAAGTCTTATGATTACTTTGTAATCAATTATGAAATCTTATCGATTACGGAGGATTACACTGGTTTACGTTTTATGGGGAATTGGGATAAGACTGCACGTAGGAAATCTTGCAGAAAACAAAAGGGCCTAACTTCATATTTAATTTTTTTTCTTGTTATGTACGAGACTGGATGCAATGTGAGTATATCTCGGTACAGTCAATCATCTCCATTATTTGAATTAATTCATCGTAAATCGTCATGAGCTATGTAACTATATAAGCATAAATTGCGAACTATGTAACTATGTAAGCATATGTTATGAACTATGTAACTATGTAAGCATATAGTATGAACTATGTAACTATGTAAGCATATATTATGAACTATGTAACTATGTAAGCATATATTATGAACTATGCAACTATGTAAGCATATATTATGAACTACGTAACTATGCAAGCATGTGTATGTATGAACTATGTAAGCATGTATACAGGATCAATGTATGCCCTTATAGAGCGCATGAGGCGTTGCCCCGATAGTTGCGGAACCTGGATTAGACCCGAATAGTCTAAATAAGCCGCACGGGTGTTCAGATTCTGCTCTCAACTGTCAACTGTTTATTCTACTTAGCTTTAGTTTAATTTTATGTTTTCTGTTTTAAGCCAAAAAGTGTTGACTTCTTGAACGCCCAAGAGGTGCCATCTGTTATTATATTCACTTTATAATGAAAGGGTATTTTAACCCTTCTTCGGAGTTCTTATTTATTTAACAAGAGCGTAGAGAATAGTAGCTACGCAGTTCTACTTGGTTTTATAAAGAACTTTATTTTAGCTAAAACACTACTAATGAAAAGAATAATCATCTTTAGAATGAGCTAGCTAAATCCTATCAGTGCAGCTTGAATGCCAGTTTCAACTCAAAACAATGCTCAAAACCTTCATCTTATATAATCTAAAAGCTAATTTGAATTCTGTTGAGCAATACGGAAAAAAGGTTATAGTACAGATCAAAATCATAATAACTGTTAGTTTAACCTAAGAACCTTGCATATATTCTATCAAATCGAGAAAGTGCGTTCTGGTATCTTCCTCCATCAGTAATGAGAAATCTCCCTCTTTTCAATAAAAATTCAATTTTTCATATATCTACTTCTTCGAAAGCAAAAACGCTGAATGTACTGAAAGTTATCTTGCGTGTTATTTCAGGATTACTCGTGAAAATGAAATGGCATTACTGCTGATAAGGGCTAGAATGACTTTCAAGATATGAAGATCGTTCTGAGAGAGAATTATCTAGCAAAAATAGAGTAAACTGAAAGTTGACAACAAATACATTGATGTAATCCTCGCGCATGATTGTACAATAAGTGAAGCCGAAACAAAAATTCTGATTGAAATGCAATACACTTTCTGATTTAAGAAAATGTAGTAGAACAGTGATCATCAACAAGCGATAAGCATTTCGAACGATGATATGAAATTTTATTGTGATAATTAAGTTACATTTCTTTCCTTGTATTACCAGAAGGAAAACAGCAAACTGAGATTCATTATTGTTTTTCTTATTGTTTGTATCAGTTTATTCAATGTTTCAAAACGATGACGTGATAAAACACTTTTGAATAACTCAGTATGTTCAATAAATGAATTAAAAAGATAGACTTTTAAATTGCGAAATCGTTTATCAAAAGTGTAAAAGTTTAAATTCAGAGTTTGAATTGCGAGTGTAATTAGGATTAGAAAAATGTTCGTATGCCTAGTAAAGAACATTTAAAAACACATTTAGCTAGTTCTGCAGTAAACAAATTGGCTCCGAAAAAACATTTTGAATCCAATAGAGAAAAACTTTTCATATGATTGGTTTTATAAACCACACCTTTAAAAATAAACCTAGAATATAGAATTCAAAAGCCTTTTTTCTATATTAATAGAAATATATTATTTCTTTTTTCTATATTAATAGAAATATATTAATTCTTTTTTTCTATATAATAGAAATATATTATTTCGTTTTTCTATATTTTTTAAGATAAAAGGCTTTCATCAGAAATTTTATTTGTGAAAATTTAATACGCATATACACATGATACCGATAACACATCGCATATACACGTGATACCGTTTAAAACCGATGATATCTCGGGGAATCTTTATTTGTATGGGTGCGGATCAGATTTTATTTGTTCAATTCAGCTAAGGAAAGCCGTTCTGATTAAATTTTTCTTTCAACATAACCAGCAAAATGTTTTAACATAATTTTGTATATTTGACATTTTTAATTTTTGTATATTTTTACCTACAGAGAGTAATGTGATCAAAATTTTTGAAGTCTGAACAATTACCTCAATGTTTCATATCTTGACTGGGCCCACAGCCGCCGAGACTACTTGCTGAAACTGTTTAAGTGATTCGAGTCCGGCGAAAAGACTGGCTCATAGGCATATCGTTTTCATACTTTTCATGTTTTAACAATATACTGCCAGTTTCCCCTTCCTTTCCTCACAAAGGCATCTCTCCCCTTTGACAATATCCCTACCCTCGATCGCCTTTCCGTATTAAAGACATTAAGCCAAACCATATTTAACTATCCTTCATGATTTTTGTAAAATCAGATTTTAAATGTTCAAAAAACCAATCCCTTTTTTTTTTACCTCCATTTTTTTCTATATTAATAGAAATATATTATTTCGTTTTTCTATATTTTTTAAGATAAAAGGCTTTCATCAGAAATTTATATTGTGAAAATTTAATACGCATATACACATGATACCGATAACACATCGCATATACACGTGATACCGTTTAACCGATGATATCTCGGGGAATCTTTATTTGTATGGGTGCGGATCAGATTTTATTTGTTCAATTCAGCTAAGGAAAGCCGTTCTGATTAAATTTTTCTTTCAACATAACCAGCAAAATGTTTTAACATAATTTTGTATATTTGACATTTTTAATTTTTGTATATTTTTACCTACAGAGAGTAATGTGATCAAAATTTTTGAAGTCTGAACAATTACCTCAATTGTTTCATATCTTGAACTGGGCCCACCAGCCGCCGAGAGGTAAAGTTGCTGAACACTGGTTTAAGTGCGAGGTCCGGCGAAAAGACTGGCTGCATAGGCGTTTTCATACTTTCCTCTATGTGTAACACGTATACATGCCAGTTTCCCTTAGAGCGTCCTCCACAAAGGCATCTCTCCCCTTTGACAGATAGCCCTCGAGTGCCTTTCCGTAATTAAAGACATTAAGCCAAACCATATAATGGAACTATAGCCCAATTTTAGTCCTTCAAGTGATATTTTAAAAAACCCTTTTTTTAAAACCAATTCCTTTAACCAATCCCTGAACCTTTCTCTGGCTGCCTAACTGCAAATCTACAGTCACAACAGCTTGTGAGCGATCATCATTAATTTGTTAAAACTGGTAATATTCCTAAACACATGTTATACATGATCAAGGATTTTTTACTTCCCCTACAGAGCTTTCCTGCAGTTAATATTACTAAATAGTGTGGTTTGGAAAAGGACTGTCTTTAAGAATCAATTCCTGGACCCTTCTCTGGAATCTTGAAAGCCGTAATATTTTTATCGAGTTAGCTGTGTTTCAAAACTATTTTTAAATTGTTTTTACGGTGATCTGCTTTTAATTGTGCAATGCACATATTTCGTTGACTCATGTTCTTTATCTCAAGATTTGGATGTTATTCTTTTCAGTGGTCTAAACTTTATAAATTCGAATTTACCCTCTCAAGAACAAAGTTATGATGATAAATTAAAAATGAATACTAATTTCAGAATATTAGGCCATTTCTTTCGATGAAGTTACACAAATCAAATATTTAGGAGTTACATGGATAAGAAGTTTCAGTATAAGCATCAAATTTTGCACTACTCAAACAAATGCAAAAACATATTTTCAGGATTATATACAATTTCTAAACACAGTTTGGGAATTAAAAAGACGTCATTAAACTACTCCACAGGCAAGGACTAGTTATAGTTATTTAGCATGCATTAAGAGTTTGAGAGATTTCCTTATGAACCTCCATTTTCGTCATACGTGACCTCTCAGGTCCCCGGATTTCAGTCTGTGTGATTAGTGGTTGTGGGATTACCTGAAATCACAAGTCAACCGTGATCGTCCAACCTCACTACGGATGCTAAAATACAACATCCGACAGCAATTTCTCACCATATGTTCAGATATGCTG